GGGGGGAGGGAATCTCCCACGAAACTTTTCCCTTTACGGAAGGCGGGACTGAAACAATACCCGATGCATTGTTTAAATGTAAAACCTTCAGCGCTGGGTTTTGGTTGGGTTGTGTTTGGTGGGTTTTGTTTGGTTGTTTTTTGGTTTGTTTTTTTGTTTTTTTTTTGGTACGGTTTTATTGCCGCCGCTGCTGCTGTTGTGATAGCGCTTTCCCTCTTGTGTTTACAGCTTCTGTAAGGGAGAGACGCTCAGAGGAAGAACCAGAATCCCTGGACTGCATAAACAAGGAAAGAAGGAGTCCATCTAAGCAAAGCTGGAAGGATTTCACCTTGTTGCTGTTTGTTTCAGGAGATTTTCCCTCCCCCCGCCCCGGACACTATCCAGCTCAGGATTTGTTTCGTTGCTGCGTCCACAGCCGGTCAGAAGAAGAGCGCTTTACATGTTAGAGGTGATTTTTTGTCGTGGTCTCCCTGCAAAAAAGAAATCAGCACCAATCTTCGAGGAGGAGGGAGATATGATCAACTGAGGTTTTCCCTACCTCCGGCTGAACGTGAGAGTTCAAGTGACATCGCCGCTGGCCTGTGGCTGACTGACTGCACAGCGAGCTGGAATCACAGCCAGAGCTGCTCAATTTACCTGCTCGAGGACCCTTCAAATCCTTCTATTGACGGTAGAGATTTGTATCCAAAGGAAAATCGGATTAATATAAACTATGCAGAGCTTTGCAGGGATATCTGGAGACTACCCTGTCTGCATGGCTAATCTTGAAATTGTCTGAAATAAATCCTTAGCGCAAGGAATAGCGAGATACTTTCAATTAGGATTTTTTTCTTTTCCTTGGCGCTTTTTTTTTTTTTTTTTTTCCTCCTCCACGAGAATTTAACACTTCTATGGCAAGGTAAAGGAGAATGGGACACATGCTGGAAAACTCACCTCGCTTTACAAAAATCACGGGGGTAACAGTTTCCATCATTGTTGCGGTATGAAAGGTACTCTGGATTGTGTGCTGGTGGCTAAAATGGATCAGTCTCTCTCTGTTTCTGTTAGCGATGTGCTGAAGGATCCGGATTTACTGAAATACTGACGCCAATAAACTTACTCCCTCTCTGTTGAAGGCATTGGATGTGACAGTGCAGAGAAACATGTGTTTCACATTTCTGACTGGTTGTTTTGGTGCAATCAATACCTCCACAAGAAACATTGACTTAGGTGGCGATTATCATACCGGGAGGCACAGGGAGTGCTGCTTTCGGGTTGCAGGCAAAGTGAGCACAAATCTAAGAGTCCGCCGTGCCTGGGAAGTGGGGGCTTCGGTTCCCCCCAAACTCCGGGGCAAAGGCAGCGGGCGATGGTCCCAACCCACCACAGAGAGCCCGGCCTCGGGGTGCGGAAGGAGCAGTGACCAAAGCGCTGTCAGGAGTGGCAGGCAGCCGGATCGGATGGGAATCAGTGAGGCAGTAACTGTTGAAAGAAAGGTGGATCGCGAAATTATTGCCCGAAGGAATAGCAGGCGAGGTGGAATGATGATAAAGTTAAACTTCTGTTTCATCTTCTGTCGGGGATGGTGGGCGTTTCTGTTGCTTCAGCTCCACATGTTGCAAGCACTGGCACAAGGTAGGGCTAGAGACATTTTTGTTTATAGAAATGCTGCATCTGCCTTCTAAGAGGGAGGGAATCTCACTCGGGTACAGAAAAACCCTTTTACTTTATCCTTATCAGAGGTAAACTGCAGAATTAGAGCTGAGCAGATTTCATGTAGGAATGGTCGTTTCTTACACACAATCGTTTCTTTATGGAACAGGGATTTGCAAACTGTAACTACATGTTTCTTTTCCTTTCTCGTCCTATCCTTCCCCTATCCCAACCTCCCACAGAGAATCAAAAGCCCTATCGAGACCAAACCTCCTTTTTTAATTTACTTAAATACGTCCGTACATTTCTTTTAGGCAGCAAAAGAGTTAACTGCTGGTTCTCTCTCTGTGTGTGTGTGTGTGTGTGTGTGTGTGTGTGTTTAAAAACACTGTGCACTGAGATAAGTTATGAGGAGAAGGGGAGTCATAAATCCGCCGACTAGAACTAAATCAGGCATGTAAAAGAAATTCTTTAAACATATGAGTACTATTCTGTGTGAACCTCGGTTCGAGCATTGTTCATTTCTTTTGGATTGCCAAGTAACATTTACCCGAGACAAAAACTGCAATTGATTCGTATCTGAGCATTTCCACATCAGAGATCCTTGCAGTCAAATGAGTCACTTGTAAACGAAGGGTCAGAGTCGACCAATAGACTTTAAATATCAAGTGTCAGTCACTTTGCATGTAAATTCCCTTCTCAAAAAATTGCCAAATGTAGCCTATTTCTTAATAATCCTTTGACAGAGTAAACAATAAATGGCAGGCAGAAGCATTACAGTTGGCTGCGCCAAATGACATGCTGAACAAACGCAGCTTTCACTTTCTTTGCTGGGTTGAGTTTTATTGCTGTGTGCATTGTCTGACTGAAGTGGTATGTGTTGGACAATGCAGAACTGTATCGTGTGGGACGAGGAGTTAGTTATTAAAAGCGGAAGTTAATACCCTATGAAGGGGAATGGTCTTTGTGTTTTAGTTCTTTGTTTTCAAGTATTTCATAGGGAACAACGGTGCATTCAGTTTTAATAACTGGATGGGCTGGTGTGTTGAGGAAGAGGGGTTACAAACCAAGTCTGCTGAGGTTTACTGCTGCATCCTCAGAAAGTTTGGAGCCGCAGGATACAGAAGAGCTTTAATCCAATGTTTAATAATGGACTCCACCCTCATAAACCTTTTTCAGTGCTTTGTTTATGCTGTCATTGCTATTCCCAAACTACTTATGCTGAGGCCTGCAAGCCCCAACAGGGTATTGTTATTTTGGAGCAAGACATACCTGAAATAATTCTCTCTGCAAATTAAAATTCACATCACTTTTTTTTTTTTTTTTTTTTTTTCCCCCCCCTTTCCTTTTGGTAGTTGTGTTGTTGATAGATGCCAACATGATGCTTCGTTTTGGAAGACAAATGCTGATGATCCTTGATGTTTACTCAAAAATGTAAAAATTTTTCATATAAGGCAGTTTTCCATGCCAATGATTCAGGATTCAATCTAGATGCCATGTAAAACAGTTTTCTGTGGTTTACTAGTAAACTAGGCATTTTATTGGATTAAAAAGTGAATTGAAACTTTTATATGGCACATATGCTATTGAAATTTTTTTTAATACTATTTCAGATTACTAAGCATTTGCAGTCGTATCAGTTTTATGTAATATATATCTCAGAGAGTTATGTAGTGTTTACAAACTATCCTGAAGGGAAGTCCTAACACCAAGTTAGTTTTACCCATCACTGTTTTAGACGGGGTGGGGCAGCAAAGAGAATAAGATAGATTATTTCTGAGAAATATTGGTGTAGATAAAGATATGGAGTTTAAAAGACATTAAACAATGAAAGATGAAACATGAAACAATTATATAATGTGTAAACAAAATATGTGTTTATTTTTATATAACGCAGAAAACGGAAATTACAGTTAGTGCTCTAAAAATTCTTTGACAGGTAAACCAATGTGTAAGTCTTAATGCAGTGCTTCTATTAGGTTTTCACAAAATTTGTATTCATTTATAACTTACGGTTCTTTTTACACTTTGAATTCTAATGGATTCTAATACATTCATCATTTTTATGCAAAAATTTACTTTAGAGAGAAGATGACAGTTTTTATAAAACTCCTTCATGAAAATGGAAATTCTGCTACAGCCATAGAAAGTTTTTAATGGAATGATGTGGTCATATGCATGAGAGAATTACATGACTCCAATCTTTTTATGTGATACAAAAATGAACATTCTAAATATATGGGCCATGTCTATTTTGAATGAATCATAATACTACCCTATAACTAGCTAATGTTGCGATAATAACTATTCCAGCATTAAAGAAATAAGAAATATTTCAAGCATACTGAAATGCAGGTTCTTAGTTCATAGGAAACTGATTAGATAAACTTGTTGAGATGAAGTATCTTATACTGTGAGCTGAAAGGAAGAAAAGGTGTTTGTCTGCAACAGGTTGGTTGAATATTCTCTAGACTTGAATGATCATCCATGTAAAAGCAGAACTAGAGGTGAACTGTAGATAAAACTGCTTGTAAATTCATTTTGTACTTAGCTCTTCAGATTTTTCATCTTCTGGTTGTTTTGTTACATAATTAGATATAACGATTTATGTTATTTCTTTTTCCTTTTCAAAGCAAATTTAATTATTGCAAAACATACAGTGGATTATTGTACTGAATAATAACCTTAGCATTGTTAGTGCAGACTTCCCCATTGCGGGAGTTTTCTGGGTGGAAGAAACATAGAGACGACAGAGTTTGTGGCCTGTCCCCTGAACACAGCCAGGACTGGTACTGCCACCTCTGCAATGGCTGCAGGTCTGCACGGGAGCCGGTTCAGACTATGTGGGAGTCTCACCCGGCTTAAATCATTGGCCCATCTGTGCTTGAATGGGAAGCTTGGCAGAAAAACTAACCTGTACGAGTCTGAAAACTGTTGCACATTTCTTTGTTTACTCAGTTCCTCAGGCCTGCTACCCCCTGCCACACACCTCCTTTCATGGCATTTTTGTCAACTTTGAGTATTTGGTGCTAGTTAGCCTCAAGTCATTGTGTGTCATCAAATAGTGATGAGGTGCTAATTAATAATCACCGTAATTATCAAATTAGAATTTGCAAGGGGATGGTAGAAGTGAATCATTTCGACACAGTACCTAACCGCTGTACTTAGAAGAACATTATCCTGCAGTGACCTCTAGCTCAGTGGTCCAGCATGCCTGGGCATAGTCCTGTTGAGTACACAGAGCTTGTTACAGGATTGGATTTTATTAGCTTTATTAGATCAACTGATGCCTACTGAGGTACAAAATGTTTACTAAAATACTAGAATATTTGTATGGAAATAGAAAAATTCTGCTTACTTAAATAGGTTGGAAGTTGCTAGAGGCTGCTCTATATGCATCTAATGGATTTAAGTACCTTCCCAATGTCTTACTTTTGTTGAAGAGTAAAAAAATACTTAGAAAATATACTTCTTCGGATTGATGGTTGTTGTTCCGAATGATTTTAAAATAGATAAAAGCAGTGCAAAGCTTTAAGCTTCTCCAGCAGGAGATGGATATCCTTAAATATTAAGAAAAGGAAGCTTGTCTGATTTTTCTTAGTTTTACAACAATGGAAGTGTAATCTTTATGCTACTTGATCAAATCTGTAATTCAGAATTCTGCATATACCTGAATGTGCATTTAAGCTGATATTGATATCTATTATGCTTTGTCAGAAGCTGTGATATGGAAGATAAAAGAAAATGTTTCTGGGGCCTAACATTTTAAATTTGAATATTTGATCTGGTATAACTTAAAAATTTGGTAAGTGTAGGAAGCGTTTTCAAACAATTTTCAAACTACATTAGATGTAGAGATGATAAGCAACTTGTATAGAGTATTTAGTTGTTGAAAGGACAGAGAGATGGTTAAATGTGAGGGCAATACTTACTGGAGAGTGAAAAGCATCCTGAATTAAATGTGGAATGATGCATTTCTAATACAAAAAATTCTGTTACTGTTTATTGGAAACTCATTATTTTTTATTAGATTTACCTCTTATGTTCCCTTTCTTTAGATGAACGTTTTAACTATATGCTAGTTTTTAAATGGGTGAATTATTTGTGTATATAATTATAATAATTAAAAAATTGATTTGGAGGAGTAGTTACAAGCCTAGTCTAAATAGAAATGGAGTGGAGAGAGTTGGCTTTTTCTGTGGCCATATCATGCAACTTCTAACTCTCTCTAGTGTGGTAAATCTAAATTTGGTTTATATGCTTATGTTTTGCTGAAAAATGACATTCTCAAGAGACTTCTCAAAGCAAGTTCAAAGAGTATACATATCTATTAATATTTTCAGTGTTTCAGATAGTTTTTTTGAGAGTGCAGTGTAATAGAGGTGAAGGAAGACCATGTGTAATAAGTATTTATCAACGCTGGGTTTATGATTTACCAGAAGATGCTTAGACCAGGAATGATGGGAGAGAGAGGTTGTGGCAGTGAAGCTGTGTGACTTTCACATCACTTAAGAAGGACGGAAGGGAATAGGAGTCCATGGCTTATAGGTTGTTCTGGAAGGTTCTGTCATCTCTGTGCATAGTCATATATTTTGAATAACAAAGACAAATATTGGCTAATATTTTAAAGATTGTCTGATTAAACAAATAGAAATTTTAATAAACAATCTTTAAGTGAGGAAGCTGTTAAGTGACGGCTTGGGCTTTTGTATGTCTCAGAGGGATTATTTTTGTTGTTTTAATGTTCTTACCAGCACATACATACAAATCTTGAATACAGTCTTGATTCAAATAAAAGATTTTCATGCATTATAGCAACTTTTTATACAGCTTCACCCGAACTTCACATTCTGAATGGACTAGTTATTTGGTTCACTTGGACCTTTTTACTGTGATGAATCTGTGGACAGATTATTCCTCATGAACCAAAGTCTTGTTCATGCTGAATTAATTGCAGAAATAGACCTTTCTTCTTCCCTCTG